TCTCCTCTCCTTCCCCAGGTCTAAGGTTTATCTCAGGGATCTAACCCAGTCTCTCCTTCCCCAGGTCTAAGGTTTATCTCAGGGGTCTAACCCAGTCTCTCCTTCCCCAGGTCTAAGGTTTATCTCAGGGGTCTAACCCAGTCTCTCCTCTCCTTCCCCAGGTCTAAGGTTTATCTCAGGGGTCTAACCCAGTCTCTCCTTCCCCAGGTCTAAGGTTTATCTCAGGGATCTAACCCAGTCTCTCCTCTCCTTCCCCAGGTCTAAGGTTTATCTCAGGGATCTAACCCAGACTCTCCTCTCCTTCCCCAGGTCTAAGGTTTATCTCAGGGATCTAACCCAGTCTCTCCTTCCCCAGGTCTAAGGTTTATCTCAGGGGTCTAACCCAGTCTCTCCTTCCCCAGGTCTAAGGTTTATCTCAGGGGTCTAACCCAGTCTCTCCTCTCCTTCCCCAGGTCTAAGGTTTATCTCAGGGGTCTAACCCAGTCTCTCCTTCCCCAGGTCTAAGGTTTATCTCAGGGATCTAACCCAGTCTCTCCTCTCCTTCCCCAGGTCTAAGGTTTATCTCAGGGATCTAACCCAGACTCTCCTCTCCTTCCCCAGGTCTAAGGTTTATCTCAGGGATCTAACCCAGTCTCTCCTTCCCCAGGTCTAAGGTTTATCTCAGGGGTCTAACCCAGTCTCTCCTTCCCCAGGTCTAAGGTTTATCTCAGGGGTCTAACCCAGTCTCTCCTTCCCCAGGTCTAAGGTTTATCTCAGGGATCTAACCCAGTCTCTCCTTCCCCAGGTCTAAGGTTTATCTCAGGGGTCTAACCCAGTCTCTCCTCTCCTTCCCCAGGTCTAAGGTTTATCTCAGGGATCTAACCCAGTCTCTCCTCTCCTTCCCCAGGTCTAAGGTTTATCTCAGGGGTCTAACCCAGTCTCTCATCTCCTTCCCCAGGTCTAAGGTTTATCTCAGGGGTCTAACCCAGTCTCTCCTCTCCTTCCCCAGGTCTAAGATTGATCTCAGGGATCTAACCCAGTCTCTCCTCTCCTTCCCCAGGTCTAAGGTTTATCTCAGGGGTCTAACCCAGTCTCTCCTTCCCCAGGTCTAAGGTTTATCTCAGGGATCTAACCCAGTCTCTCCTCTCCTTCCCCAGGTCTAAGGTTTATCTCAGGGGTCTAACCCAGTCTCTCCTCTCCTTCCCCAGGTCTAAGGTTTATCTCAGGGATCTAACCCAGTCTCTCCTCTCCTTCCCCAGGTTTGATCCCGTATAACTTCATCTGCGTGCGGACGGGCTCCATCCTGTCAGAGATCTCTTCCCTGGACGATATCTTCTCCTGGGGGACGCTGCTACAACTGTTGGCCATCGCCTGTGTGGCCCTGCTTCCCGGAGCCCTTATCAAGCGCTACAGCCAGAACCATCTCCAACTGGATGGGCTGAAGCAGAAGCAGCAGAATGGAGGACACAGACCCAACCAGGGACAAGCAGCTGATGACAAAAAGAGGAGATGACCCTCCTGAAAAACAGACATGCAGTCAAACACACACCTGACCTGGGTCTGATTGGACTGGACTGGACTGGCCACTATCACTACAGCTTTACTCAGAGGAGTTCAGATTTTTTTAGGTGAGGAGAGAAACGTCTTAACTGCCACTATGCCGAGGATACTTAAAGGTCATGAACAGTCAAAATCATGTTTTTCATGAAATTTGATGATATTTGGATGAAACCAGATCAAAGTATGAAAAATGACTGTTGCTCCTACATTGATAAAGTTTGATCAGGAGGCAGGATTGTTAAGGCATCACTAACTTTCATTTCAGTACACCAATGTTAACGTTATATTTTCTTACCTAATTTAAATAAGTACCGCCTTGTTACCAACATTGGAGAAGGTGTGTTTGGAGGGGCGTGGCTTATATAGCTACTACTGGTGCCAAGATTTGACTGTAGGGTGTCAGCAAATATAATTAAAAGTTCACACTATTCATCTATGGTAAAGACACTTATGTCAACCCTTTCATCTGCGTCTGGTGTTAGCTAGTTACTGGCTAGCTGGGGGGGTGTTGTCATTCAACGCATCCGTCAGTGCTGCTGTGATCCAATTTCAATGTTGTTTGAGTTGCTTTGTGTATCACCAAATTTGCTAGAGATGATTTTACTGCAACACTGCAGCCAAGTTTGACATAGGGGTTTCAAAGAGCTGTCAGTCAAGGCGAGCTCATGAATATAAGCTCCCTGCCCACTCCGCCTGTCTTTTCAAACTTCCTGGTAGTTAGCCGTGAGGAAAAAGTCATTTTTCTTCAAATGTGGAGTATTTCAATCCCCCAAATATATTATGGGTGATATTTTAGTCAGTCAAAAGGCTGTTTTACATGGGAATCAATATGAGTGTTTGGGACCGTTAAGAGATGGATGCACCCTTGAACTGTCTGTGACTTGTGTTGGTGATTTTGCACTTGATGTCCATGCGCACCTGTCCAGAAAATGTGCGAAGTTAAGGTTAATGATGTTTTTGTAACTGCACTATAGATTTTACACAAGTAGCCTAGTGTGTATATACAGTGGAATGCAGCTAGATTTAGGTTTCCAACGCTTTGTTTTAATGGAGAGGACATAATGCGTGGTGTTGTGAGGGAAGTTATTGTTCACCCAACTGGTAGTATTTTTATACTGTGTTGTCTTACTTCCTGCTAGCTGTGGAACATGTCACTCCCAATAATAGCAGACCATCATGGGGGCTTGTGATGTCACCTGTGATACAGGGTAAAGGAACACCATCTGGGATCATACAGGGCAACAGTACATCTGGTACCTCAGTACTGTAGTGGAAACCACAGGCCTTTCTATGCTTCCACAAAGCTGTGTCTTAGAGCTGAATACTAGTCTTGTTTTATCAAATCAACAATTAGAAGCTTTTGATTTGTTTCTTTGACATACAGACAGACATCATGGGTTTCTTATTCACAGTTTATTGTGGCAGTAGTTATGGTATGATATAGCCATTATGCAACCCTGCTTGACTTGTACAAGACAGTCACCCAGTAAGCCAGACAGTCACCCAGTAAGCCAGACAGTCACCCAGTAAGCCAGACAGTCACCCAGTAAGGCAGCCAGTCACCCAGTAACATACCATGGAAGCAGATGTGTGTTCTTCTCACATGCTAGTCATGCAGCAGCATTGAGGTAGATAGACAGCCCATAACATCAGTGATTTTCAGTGAAAATACGACATTCAACCAATAATAATAATAATAATAATACACACAGCCACTCATACATACAATGACCTACAAGGCTGAGGCAGTCAGGCTAAACCCCCAGCAATGACCTACAAGGCTGAGGCAGTCAGGCTAAACCCACAGCAATGACCTACAAGGCTGAGGCAGTCAGGCTAAACCCACAGCAATGACCTACAAGGCTGAGGCAGTCAGGCTAAACCCACAGCAATGACCTACAAGGCTGAGGCAGTCAGGCTAAACCCACAGCAATGACCTACAAGGCTGAGGCAGTCAGGCTAAACCCACAGCAATGACCTACAAGGCTGAGGCAGTCAGGCTAAACCTCCAGCAATGACCTACAAGGCTGAGGCAGTCAGGCTAAACCCACAGCAATGACCTACAAGGCTGAGGCAGTCAGGCTAAACCCCCAGCAATGACCTACAAGGCTGAGGCAGTCCGGCTAAACCCCCAGCAATGACCTACAAGGCTGAGGCAGTCCGGCTAAACCCCCAGCAATGACCTACAAGGCTCAGGCAGTCCGGCTAAACCCCCAGCAATGACCTACAAGGCTGAGGCAGTCCGGCTAAACCCCCAGCAATGACATACAAGGCTGAGGCAGTCCTGCTAAACCCCCAGAAATGACCTACAAGGCTGAGGCAGTCCGGCTAAACCCCCAGCAATGACCTACAAGGCTGAGGCAGTCCGGCTAAACCCACAGCAATGACCTACAAGGCTGAGGCAGTCAGGCTAAACCCACAGCAATGACCTACAAGGCTGAGGCAGTCAGGCTAAACCCACAGCAATGACCTACAAGGCTGAGGCAGTCAGGCTAAACCCACAGCAATGACCTACAAGGCTGAGGCAGTCAGGCTAAACCCACAGCAATGACCTACAAGGCTGAGGCAGTCAGGCTAAACCCACAGCAATGACCTACAAGGCTGAGGCAGTCAGGCTAAACCCACAGCACCTCAGTCATTTGACATCAATTATCTGACAAAACAAAGTGTTAAAAGGTAGACTCTGCAAAGGGACATCATCATACACAGCGGGGTCACTTCCTGCTTAAAGTAAGACAACAACATAATTCATATGTGAGGAGTAATTTAAACAAGATCATTCAGTGTTAAGTGCAAAAACTCACTAACCCTGCTTGTTAATACACAAAGACATTTGTATCACATTGATAAAACCTCATCAGAGGACAACATACCAGAGTATGGTGACATGATATTCGGAACAATAAATAGCAATGCATTTGAATGATCATTATTGGCATAACATGAGCACCAGAAACATACACTTCTACACTTGTGTTCCACACAGAACGTGGACACGCTGTCTATTTGGCCATACATACTTAACCAGGCACGGCATGTGTTCCAGGAAACAATGTCAATGCATAGCCTTTAAAAACGGAATCAGCGATGATCTACAAGGTGGTTTTCAAGGCCTCACCTCTCGCTTTGAAATGACGTGTCATAGATCTGCTGTACCTCAAGTTGAGCCAGATAGAGTGATAGTACTGGTAACATAACATAGTGGGGGAAAAACATTTAAACCTTCATGACTTTCAAGTACATTACAACAGTAGTCTTACAAAACAACACGGCAGTTCAGTTGCATATTAAATAGTTGAATAGTCTCATTTTAGCCAGCGCAGACTTCTTAATGTCATGCAAAGAAGTCTGTATGAAATCCCGGAGCTGGTTAAGGGTGTGGATCTGATTGGTTCAGCTGGGATAGTAGCTGACTCAAGTGGCCGCTGTCACTTCATGCTTCCCAAATGGTATCCTATTCCCTACATAGTGCACTACTATTGACCAGAGCCTGGAAACACCATCTTTCTCTCTTCTGGGGTCCATTCAGGAGGGCGCAAATGTTACAGAAATGTTCAGATAGAAATGTATCACATAGAACAGATATGATTGTCTGAATGATATTTGGAAATGGGAACGCTAAATCGTGTCAGCTCTATCTCGTTACATTTCCAGCTGCAACTTTCTGAGCGTTTCATCTTACTGAATAGCAGTGTTGTAATATTCAAATCCAGGACTTAGGAGTCAAGGTTTAGTGACTTGACAACAACACTGCTGAATAGTGATACACCCTTCCTCCCCCGTTCTCCCCCGTTCTCCCCCTCCCCGGGAACGTTACATGGCCACGGGGGACATACTGCTGTTCCTCTCCATCGGTGGCTTCCAGCTCCTCTCAGTGAAGCAGTAGTGTAGGAGGGTGTCGTCCCTGAAGCCAAACTGGTGTGTGAGGTGTTGCAGTATCCCTCCTTGCTGGAGCTGAGCCCCATAGAGCTGGGCTTCCCCTCTGTCCCGGGCCAGACCCACCCTCACCAGCCAGTCCACCAGATCACTGCCCAGGAAAGTGGCCTTAGTCTGGGCCTGGGATGGAGGATAAGTCCCCTGACCAGGTCTCTCCCTGGAGCTCTCCCTCTCCTGAACCCTCTCTCCCTCACACCTGCGTATTAAAGGAAGGATTCACCTACTGGCCCATTGTTCAGGCTTTCCCCAGAAGCACTAGGGTGGAGAGATGGAGGAAGAGGAGAGAGAAAGAGAAGAGATAGTGGGAGTGAGGATGAGAGTTCAGTAAGGAAATGAAAAAGGTGAAAGTAGCTACAAGGACTGTGTACCACTCCAAAACCAGAATGCATTATTAGTGAATAAGACTGTGGTAAGTTCAGTCCATTTACAGAGTGTACAATGCATTTTCTAAAGACAGGATTAGTGGTAGAAACATGCAAGATATTAGCTGGGGTAAAATCATACGCCATGCATAGATAAAATGTTAAGAGAGAAAGTTTTGAACTAGTAGGTAACATGCAAGTTATGGAATATTATATCTGCACACTCAAATCAGTAGCATTTACGAGTCAACTGTTTTCATATTGATTCTAGAGCTTTGATTCTGCACCAATCAGACACATGTCCTATGAGTGCAATCACGCTACAAAAAAAATCCTAATTGATGTTTCTGTTGTGGCCTACCTTCTGATGGGCACTATGTCCTGAACACACTGGTCTTTATGATAGCGGACAAACTGAGTGCAGGCCAGCCTGATCTCCTCTGGAACCACCGAGGGGGGCTCCTCACTCTCCCTGCCCCGCCACAGGCTCACTAACCTGGGGACTAATGTTGGGACAATACAACATACAGGAGGTGATGCTAATGTTGGGACAATACAACATACAGGAGGTGATGCTAATGTTGGGACAATACAACATACAGGAGGTGATGCTAATGTTGGGACAATACAACATACAGGAGGTGATGCTAATGTTGGGACAATACAACATACAGGAGGTGATGCTAATGTTGGGACAATACAACATACAGGAGGTGATGCTAATGTTGGGACAATACAACATACAGGAGGTGATGCTAATGTTGGGACAATACAACATACAGGAGGTGATGCTAATGTTGGGACAATACAACATACAGGAGGTGATGCTAATGTTGGGACAATACAACATACAGGAGGTGATGCTAATGTTGGGACAATACAACATACAGGAGGTGATGCTAATGTTGGGACAATACAACATACAGGAGGTGGTGCTAATGTTGGGACAATACAACATACAGGAGGTGGTGCTAATGTTGGGACAATACAACATACAGGAGGTGATGCTAATGTTGGGACAATACAACATACAGGAGGTGATGCTAATGTTAGGACAATACAACATACAGGAGGTGGTGCTAATGTTGGGACAATACAACATACAGGAGGTGATGCTAATGTTGGGACAATACAACATACAGGAGGTGATGCTAATGTTGGGACAATACAACATACAGGAGGTGATGCTAATGTTGGGACAATACAACATACAGGAGGTGATGCTAATGTTGGGACAATACAACATACAGGAGGTGATGCTAATGTTGGGACAATACAACATACAGGAGGTGATGCTAATGTTGGGACAATACAACATACAGGAGGTGATGCTAATGTTGGGACAATACAACATACAGGAGGTGATGCTAATGTTGGGACAATACAACATACAGGAGGTGATGCTAATGTTGGGACAATACAACATACAGGAGGTGATGCTAATGTTGGGACAATACAACATACAGGAGGTGGTGCTAATGTCGGGACAATACAACATACAGGAGGTGGTGCTTTGAACAGAGTGTGATGGAAAGGAGTCATTGACGCCCTATTCTCCCTGAGGTAAGTACGTAGCTCTTAGCTCACCTCTTCTTGAACGGCAGAATGATCAGATGCCTGTCCAGGCCAAAGATACCGAACGAAATGAAGCCCTGAGAAACATGAGGTAAAGTAAGCAACAGAAAGTCCCTTTCTATACTCATGATCTAATACCCACGTGAGCGTACCTGTCCATAGTTGGCCACAGCACAGAAGAACTGCAGCTCCAGGTACAGTCTACCAGGGTCCTGGTTGAACAACCACCATAGACAACTGGACAGGTTCTGAGAGACATGAGAGGGGGGAGGGAAAAGTGCACACTTCAGAGTAAACGAGTGCCGATTCAGGGAAGAGGGTAGAGAATGGAGTGAACTAGTGCACACTTCAGGGAAGAGGGTAGGTAGAGAAAGGGGACACGGCCAAGCAACAACAGAACAGAGCAGAGCAGAAGATATACCACTCACAGCCAGCAGGGAGACTATGAGGAGTAGAGACAACAGTACGTGTCTGACCAGCTGTCTGTCATCCTGGACCGGTGGACTAGACTGCTGCTGCTGGGTTTCACACAGCACCCCACACTGGCCTGGAGGGTACCATACAACAGTCAACAGGGTGGTATTCCATTAGCGCACACCGTAAAACAAAACGTTTTGCAACAGCATCACAGTCAACACAACCCACAGTTTACACAACAGGGACACAGTCAACACAACCCACAGTGGACACAACAGGGACACAGTCAACACAACCCACAGTGGACACAACAGGGACACAGTCAACACAACCCACAGTGGACACAACAGGGACACAGTCAACACAACCCACAGTGGACACAACAGGGACACAGTCAACAACAGGTCAGCACAGCCCGAAGTATCAGCCCCATAAACCTAGAACACAACTCCAACCAGAGCTGTAGTCATTCACTGTGTCTTCCTGTACCTGTTGGAGAGATGGGAGTGTGGTTCCTGGTGGCGCTGGCCATCCTGTCTGCCATGGGCTGGGTACAACTACAACAGTCTGGGAGGGGGGGCACGACAACAGCACACAGACAAGAGTTCTGAGTTACAGCAAACTACTCACACTGTTTAACAATATGTTAGGTTGGCAAGTTTAGGTTTTTACATACGAAGTTCGTAAACAAAATCCCCAATAAACCAATGCAGCCAAGTTTACAGAACTAGAAGGAACAACAACGTGTCTAGCTAGCTACCTCTGTTGTTGCTGGTCTCAGGTGGTGAGGGCTCCAGTGGGGGGGTCTGGTCATCCTGGTGTCCAGGGGACCTCAGGTCCTCTATAGTACCCGTGATGGAGGCTCTCTCCAGGGCTTGGTAGTTCTGGTTCTCCTTGGTGCTCTGGCTGAGACCCATCAGAGAGAAACCACCCACCAAGATGCTGCAGGAGACTACAACTGCAGTACTGATGATCTGAGAGAGGGGGGGGGAGAGAGAGAGAGAGGGGGGGAGAGAGAGGGAGATATATATATAAGTGTAAAAACATTAGGACTGGCTCCAGATCTATGTGATCTGTAAAGTGGAGCCAACTCAGAGAGAACTATACAGTGGATCTGTATTCCAGTAAACTAAAACCACAGGTGGCCTCTCACCTGAGCCCTGCCATAGAAGAATGCAGAGTCTATTGTATCAGGCATCCTCTCTCCTGCCAGGAGCAGACCTCCTAGGATGAGGAATGGGATGCTGTGGAAGAGAACAACACTGTAAGGTTAAGTTTGACGAACACAAACATACAACACACTGTTTCACACACGACGTACCCCCAGCCAAAGACCATGAAGACCCCAGGTGGAAGCCTCAGCAGATCGTCCTTCTTGGTCAGAACCAAACAGAGAGGAATGAGACCTATAGTAAGACAGACAGACAGAACCAACTCAGGGTTATTCCACAGATCCTGTACACCGTATCCAGGTGTGACACACACATACCAGTCCACACACACACGGTACATACCAGTCCACACACACACACGGTACATACCAGTCCACACACACGGTACATACCAGTCCACACACACACACGGTACATACCAGTCACACAACACGGTACATACAGTCACAACACAACCCCAACACAGGTACATACCAGTCCACACACAACAACACACGGTAACATACCAGTACACACAAACACGGTACATACCAGTCACAACACAACGGTACATACCAGTCCACACACACACGGTACATACAGTCCACACACAACACGGTACATACCAGTCCACACACACACACATCACACAACGGTACATACCAGTCCAACACACACACGGTACATACCAGTCCACACACACACACGGTACATACCAGTCCACACACACACACGGTACATACCAGTCCACACACACACACGGTACATACCAGTCCACACACACACACACGGTACATACCAGTCCACACACACACACGGTACATACCAGTCCACACACACAACACACGGTACATACCAGTCCACACACACACACGGTACATACCAGTCCACAACACACACGGTACATACCAGTCCACACACACACACGGTACATACCAGTCCACACACACACACACGGTACATACCAGTCCAGACACACGGTACATACCTGTCCAGACACACGGTACATACCAGTCCACAACACACACGGTTACATACCAGTACCCAGAACACACACGGTACATACCGTCCAGACACACACACGGTACATACCTAGTCCCAACACACGGTACATACCGTCCAGACACACGGTACATACCTGTCCAGACACACACAGTACATACGTCCAGACACACGGTACATACCTGTCCAGACACACGGTACATACCTGTCCAGACACACGTGTACATACCTGTCCAGACACACGTACATACCTGTCCAGACACACGGTACATACCTGTCCAGACACACGGTACATACCTGTCCAGACATATGTACTGTAGAGTGATCCATAGAGCAGTGTGAATGTCAACACCTGTCCCAAGATGTTCTCCTGCTTCACTACGAAGTTCCACAGGATCATACTGACACAAACTAGGAACTACATGGACAGACACATTAGTATAGATCACTTCCATATATGATATAGAACACAGGATGTATATTAAGGATATATGTAATAACCTGTGCGAGGAAGAGGTTCATAGCGAACATGTGTGGGAGCCTCTTGAACTTCTTACTGAGCAGAATAACAGCGATGGTCCACACCTACAACACAAACAGTGTATTCAGTGTTTAAACACAGCTTGAACCCACTAAAGATGCCAAAAGTCTCTGCAGAGTAGATTAGAATAAGAAAGCCATTAAAATACATAAATCGTCTTTAATTAAAGCTGCATTGTTCACCATGGAGTCAGTTAGCCCTGATCAACACCATGGAGTCAGTAAGCCCTGATCAACACCATGGAGTCAGTTAGCCCTGATCAACACCATGGAGTCAGTTAGCCCTGATCAACACCATGGAGTCAGTTAGCCCTGATCAACACCATGGAGTCAGTTAGCCCTGATCAACACCATGGAGTCAGTTAGCCCTGATCAACACCATGGAGTCAGTTAGCCCTGATCAACACCATGGAGTCAGTTAGCCCTGATCAACACCATGGAGTCAGTTAGCCCTGATCAACACCATGGAGTCAGTTAGCCCTGATCAACACCATGGAGTCAGTTAGCCCTGATCAACACCATGGAGTCAGTTAGCCCTGATCAAACACCATGGAGTCAGTTAGCCCTGATCAACACCATGGAGTCAGGTAAGCCCCTGATCAACACCATGGAGTCAGTTAAGCCCTGATCAACACCATGGAGTCAGTTAGCCCTGATCAACACCATGGATCAGTTAGCCCTGATCAACACCATGGAGTCAGTTAGCCCTGGAGTCAGTTTAGCCCCGGATCAACACCATGGAGTCAGTTAGCCCTGATCAACACCATGGAGTCAGTTAGCCTGATCAACACACATGGAGTCAGTTAGCCCTATCAACACCATGGAGTCAGTAGCCCTGATCAACACCATGGAGTCAGTTAGCCCTGATCAACACCATGGAGTCAGTTAGCCCTGATCAACACCTGGAGTCAGTTAGCCCTGATCAACACCATGGAGTCAGTTAGCCCTTGATCAACACCATGGAGTCAGTTAGCCCTGATCAACACCATGGAGTCAGTTAGCCCTGATCAACAACCATGGAGTCAGTAAGCCCTGATCAACACCATGGAGTCAGTTAAGCCCTGATCAACACCATGGAGTCAGTAGCCCTGATCAACACCATGGAGTCAGTAGCCCTGATCAACACCATGGAGTCAGTAAGCCATGATCAACACCATGGAGTCAGTTAGCCCTGATCAACACCATGGAGTCAGTTAGCCCTGATCAACACCATGGAGTCAGTAAGCCCTGATCAACACCATGGAGTCAGTAAGCCCTGATCAACACCATGGAGTCAGTAAGCCCTGATCAACACCATGGAGTCAGTTAGCCCTGATCAACACCATGGAGTCAGTTAGCCCTGATCAACACCATGGAGTCAGTTAGCCCTGATCAACACCATGGAGTCAGTTAGCCCTGATCAACACCATGGGAGTCAGTTAGCCCTGATCAACACCCATGGAGTCAGTTAGCCCTGATCAACACCATGGAGTCAGTTAGCCCTGATCAACACCATGGAGTCAGTTAGCCCTGATCAACACCATGGAGTCAGTTAGCCCTGATCAACACCATGGAGTCAGTTAGCCCTGATCAAACACCATGGAGTCAGTTAGCCCTGATCAACACCATGGAGTCAGTTAGCCCTGATCAACACCATGGAGTCAGTTAGCCCTGATCAACACCATGGAGTCAGTTAGCCCTGATCAACACCATGGAGTCAGTTAGCCCTGATCAACACCATGGAGTCAGTTAGCCTGCTCAACCCCTTGCTTCAATCAGCGGAGTCAGACCGGACCACACATGGAGGAAAACCACAAAAGGCCACAGATAATAACATCTACTGTGAAGTGAGATCTTTTACACAAAGTGAAAAGCCTATGGAAAACAGTCTCAAAGTCTCAGTCTTCTTCATTAGGCCTTCATGTAGCTATATGAAAGTAGAAAAAGAGAGAGAGAGAGGGAAAGATAGACAGAGAGAAAGAAAGTAATGTGAGAGAGAGAAAGAGAGGGGGAGATAGGGGGAGAAATAGCATGCTAGAGACAGAGAGAGAAAGAGAGAGAGAGAGAGAGAGAGAGATTAATCCAGATAAGAAAAGTGAGAGAAAGAACTGTCACCAGGGCGACCAGGCTGACGATGCTGATGTTGAAGCTAACGTTCTGCAGCTCAGTGACCAGGGGCTTGGGGTCCATCAGGGGGATGGTCAGGAGCCAGGCTGACACGTACATGATGGGGGCAGACAGGAACGTGCTGATCACCATCCCTGACGTCACCTACAGTAGGACAGACAGAGGTAGAGAGAGAGTCAGTAGCCAGGCTGGGCTGATACATGATGAAAAAAAATCCCTGAATCTCATGTTGGAGTGGATGTGTGTTTATAAGCCTTGGGTGTCTAAAAAGGTGGCTATTAGCTGAGAAATAAATGATGAATTAATGATGTTATACGCACCACTTCCAGCTCCATGTTATACTGTGATGTGTGTGTGTGTGTGTACACTGTATCAACACACCACTTCCTGCTCCATGTTATACTGTGATGTGTGTGTGTGTGTGTGGTGTGTACACTGTATCAACACACCACTTCCTGCTCCATGTTATACTGTGATGTGTGTGTGTGTGTGTGTGTGTGTGTGTGTGTACACTGTATCAACGCACCACTTCCAGCTCCATGTTGTAGTGTGATGTGTGTGTGTGTGTGTGTGTGTGTGTGTGTGTGTGTGTGTGTACACTGTATCAACGCACCACTTCCAGCTCCATGTTGTAGTGTGATGTGTGTGTTGTGATGTGTGTGTACTGTATCAACGCACCACTTCCAGCTCCATGTTGTAGTGTGATGTGTGTGTGTGTGTGTGTGTGTACTGTATCAACGCACCACTTCCAGCTCCATGTTGTAGTGTGATGCGTAGATGGCTACGCTGGGAGCAGTGGGGAACACTCCGTAGAGAAAGGCATAGTTAGACAGGCTGGAGTGGTTCAGACAGCTGCTGTTGTAACCTGTAGAGTCTAGCAGGTCCAGCATGTCCTTACAGAGAAGAGGCATCACCAGCCTACATGGACACACAAACAGATAACACTGTGTTAGGACACTAGGACAGGACAGTACCACTAGGACAGGACAGTACCACTAGGACAGGACAGTAACACTAGGACAGTAACACTAGGACAGGACAGTACCACTAGGACAGGGACAGTAACACTAGGACAGGAAAGTACCACTAGGACATGACAGTACCACTAGGACAGGACAGTTACACACTGACAGGACAGTACACTAGGACAGTACCACTAGGACAGGACAGTAACACTAGGACAGTACCACTAGGACAGGACAGTACCACTAGGACAGGACAGTAACACTAGGACAGGACAGTACCACTAGGACATGACAGTACCACTAGGACATGACAGTACCACTAGGACAGGACAGTACACACTAGGACTACACTAGACAGCATACACTAGGACACGTACACACTAGGACAGGACAGTAACACTAGGACAGGACAGTAACACTAGGAGGACAGTACCACTAGGACAGGACAGTACCACTAGGACAGTACCACTAGGACAGGACAGTAACACTAGGACAGGGACAGTACACTAGGACAGGACAGTACCACTAGGACAGGACAGTACCACTAGGACAGGACAGTAACACTAGGACAGGACAGTAACACTAGGACAGCAGTACCACTAGGACAGGACAGTACCTAGACTAGGACAGTAACACTAGGACAGGACAGTAACACTAGACAGGACAGTACACTAGGCGGACAGTACACTAGGACAGGACGAACATTGACATAACCACTAGACAGGACAGTACCACTAGGACAGTACCACTAGGACAGGACAGTAACACTAGGACAGGACAGTAACACTAGGACAGGACAGTAACACTAGGACAGGACAGTAACACTAGGACAGGACAGTAACATTAGGACAGTACCACTAGGACAGGACAGTACCACTAGGACAGGACACTACCACTAGGACAGGACAGTAACACTAGGACAGGACAGTAACACTAGGACAGGACAGTACCACTAGGACAGGACAGTAACACTAGGACAGTAACACTAGGACAGGACAGTACCACTAGGACAGTACACTAGGACAGGACAGTAACACTAGGACAGGACAGTACCACTAGGACAGGACAGTACCACTAGGACAGGACAGTACACTAGGACAGGACAGTAACACTAGGACAGGACAGTACCACTAGGACAGGACAGTAACACTAGGACAGGACAGTAACACTAGGACAGTACCACTAGGACAGGACAGTACCACTAGGACAGTACCACTAGGACAGGACAGTAACACTAGGACAGGACAGTACACTAGGACAGGACAGTACCACTAGGACAGGACAGTAACAGACAGGACAGTAACATTGGACAGTACCACTAGGACAGGACAGTACCACTAGGACAGTACCACTAGGACAGACAGTAACACTAGGACAGGACAGTAACCACTAGGACAGTACCACTAGGACAGGACAGTACCACTAGGACAGACAGTACCACTAGGACAGGACAGTAACAACTAGAAGTACATAGGACAGTACCACTAGGACAGTACCACTAGGACAGGACAGTAACACTAGTACAGGACAGTAACATTAGGACAGTACCACTAGGACAGGACAGTACCACTAGGACAGTACCACTAGGACAGGACAGTAACACTAGGACAACAGCAGTACCATAGGACAGAAGTACCACTAGGACAGTAACACTAGGACAGGACAGTACCACTAGGACAGGGACAGTACCACTAGGACAGGACAGTAACACTAGGACACAAAGGACAGTAACACTAGGACAGGACAGTAACACTAGGACAGACAGACAGACACAGTACACACTAGGACAGGACAGTACACTAGGACAGGACAGTAACACTAGGACAGCTAAGTACACTAGGACAGGACAGTACCACTAGGCACAGTAACACTAGGACAGGACAGTATAACAAACTAGACAGGTGACAGTACCACTAGGACAGGACAGTACCACTAGAGGTACGTACCACAGGACAGAATCACTAGGACAGGACTCGGAAACACATAGGACAGGACAGTATAGGACACACTAGGACAGACAGTACATAGACAGAAGTACCACTAGAAGCAGTACACTAGGACACTAGGCAGTACACTAGGAGAAGCACTAGGACAGTAGTACACTAGGACAGGACAGTAACATAGGACAGGACATACCACTAGGACAGGACAGTACCACTAGGACAGTACCACTAGGACAGGACAGTAACACTAGGACAGGACAGTACCCAGGACAGACACTAGGACAGGGACAGTAACACTAGGACAGGGACAGTAACACTAGGACAGGGACAGTACAGTACCACTAGGACAGTACAGTAACACTAGGACAGTACAGTACCACTAGGACAGGGACAGTAACACTAGGACAGGGACATAGTACCACTAGGACAGGGACAGTAACACTAGGACAGGGACAGTACCACTAGGACAGTACAGTACCACTAGGACAGGGACAGTAACACTAGGACAGGGACAGTACCACTAGGACAGTAAAGTTACAGTACCACTAGGACAGTACAGTACCACTAGGACAGGGACAGTAACACTAGGACAGTACAGTACCACTAGGACAGGACAGTAACCACTAGGACAGGGACAGTACCACTAGGACAGTACAGTACCACTGGACAGACAGTACCACTAGACAGTACAACACTAGGACAGGGACAGTACCACTAGGACAGGGACAGTAACCACTAGGACAGTACAGTACACTAGAGGACAGTACCACTAGGACAGGACAGTACCACTAGGACAGGGACAGTACCACTAGGACAGGACAGTACCACTAGGACAGGGACAGTAAACACTAGGACAGGACAGTAACCACTAGGACAGGGACAGTACCACTAGGACAGGGACAGTACAGTACCACTAGGACAGGGACAGTACCACTAGGACAGGGACAGTAACACTAGGACAGGGACAGTAACACTAGGACAGGACAGTACCTAGGACACTACAGTACCACTAGGACAGGGACAGTAACACTAGGACAGGGACAGTACAGTACCACTAGGACAGTACAGTACCACTAGGACAGGGACAGTAACACTAGGACAGGGACAGTACCACTAGGACAGTACAGTACCACTAGGACAGGGACAGTACCACTAGGACAGGGACAGTACACTAGGACAGTACAGTACCACTAGGACAGACAGTACCACTAGGACAGGGACAGTACACTAGGACAGGGACAGTACACTAGGACAGTACAGTACCACTAGGACAGTACAGTACCACTAGGACAGGGACAGTACCACTAGGACAGGGACAGTACCACTAGGACAGGGACAGTAACACTAGGACAGGGACAGTACCACTAGGACAGGGACAGTACCACTAGGACAGGGACAGTACAGTACCACTAGGACAGGAGTACCACTAGGACAGGGACAGTACACTAGGACAGGGACAGTAACACTAGGACAGGGACAGTACAGTACCACTAGGACAGGGACAGTAACACTAGGACAGGGACAGTACCACTAGGACAGTACAGTACCACTAGGACAGGACAGTAACACTAGGACAGGGACAGTAACAAGTACCACTAGGACAGACAGTACCACTAGGACAGGACGTACACTAGGACAGGGAAGTACACTAGGACATACAGTACCACTAGGACGACAGTACACTAGGACAGGACAGTACATAGGACGGGACAGTACAGTACCACTAGGCAGGGCAGTAACACTAGGACGGAGTACCATAGGACAGACAGTACACTAGGACAGTACAGTACACTAGGACAGACATAACCTAGGACGACATACAGTACCACTAGGAAGACAGTACACTAGGAAGGGACAGTACCATTAGGACAGGGACAGTAACAAGACAGTACGTACACTAGACGTACAGTACACAGGACAGGAATACCACTAGGACAGTAACATAGGACAGACAGTACCACTAGGACGGGACAGTACACTAGGACAGTCGTCCTGACTAGTCCACACAGGACTCACTAGACAGAGTACCACTAGGACGGAAGTACATAACAGGGCATCACACCTGACAGCAGTCACTGACAGGACGTACCACTAGACAGGCAGTACCTGCAACTACATGCAACAGTCACTAGACAGGACAGTACTCACAGACAGTACCCGCGACGTACAACACTAGGTGATAATGACTTGAGGAATGTGTTTGCATTCTCCACTAGTTGGCAGTGATGAGGAGGATAAGGGTTACTCCAGTAGACCTGGTGAGCTTCCCCACCTGTCCCACCATAGATAGTCCCAAGTAGAAGAGAGCTGCTCCTCCAAAGGAGTTGGCCAGGCCGTCCACAAACTCCTCCATCAAAGCAGGGATCCTCTGGCCCAGGGCAAAGTGGGAAACCATCCCTACCACCACCATGAACACTATCGGGTACAGTACCTAGAAGGATAGAATACAAGTAGACAGATGCACCACCAGCCACTAGACGACAGTAAAGACATACAGTCCACTAGCAAAGGGAACCAACCCCTACAGTACACTAACCCGACTAACCCAGGAAACCACTATAGGACACGACACAGTTAACCCACTTGACATTATCCACTGACACCAGTGTTAACCCACTAAGAACACCTGACAATGTACCACCTAAACACACCTGACACATGTTTTAACCCACTAAGACAACCCTGACACCATGTTTAACCACTAAGACAACCTGACACCATGTTAACCCACTAAGCACACCTGACAAGTTTAACCAACCCTAAACACACCCTGACACCATGTTTTAACCCACTAAGACACACCCTGACACCATGTTTAACCCACTAAGACACACCCTGACACCATGTTTTAACCCACTAAGACACACCCTGACACCATGTTTTAACCAACCCCTAAACACACCCTGACACCATGTTTTAACCCACTAAGACACACCCTGACACCATGTTTTAACCCACTAAGACACACCCTGACACCATGTTAACCACCTAAGACACACCCTGACACCATGTTAACCACCTAAGACACAACCTGACACCATGTTTAACCCACTAAGACACAACCTGACACCATGTTTTAACCCACTAAGACACACCCTGACACCATGTTTAAACCCACTAAGACACAACCCTGACACCCATGTTTTAACCCACTAAGACAACACCCTGACACCATGTTTAACCCACTAAGACACACCCTGACACCATGTTTTAACCCACTAAGACACACCCTGACACCATGTTTAACCCACTAAGACACACCCTGACACCATGTTTTAACCCACTAAGACACACCCTGACACCATGTTTTAACCCCCTAAGACACAACCTGACACCATGTTTTAACCCACTAAGACAACCATGACACCTATGTTTAACCCCCTAAGACACACCCTGACACCATGTGTTAACCCCTAAGACACAACCTGACACCATGTTTAACCCCTAAGACACCACCCCATGTTTTAAAAACCCCACACTAAGACACACCCTGACACCATGTTTTAACCCACTAAGACACACCCTGACACCATGTTTTAACCCCCTAAGACACAACCTGACACCATGTTTTAACCCACTAAGACACCCTGACACTATGTTTTAACCCCCTAAGACACACCCTGACACCATGTTTTAACCCCCTAAGACACACCCTGACACCATGTTTAACCCCCTAAGACACAACCTGACACCATGTTTTAAGACACACCCCTGACACCATGTTTTAACCCACTAAGACACACCCTGACACCATGTTTTAACCCCTAAGACACACCCTGACACCATGTTTTAACCAAACCCCCTAAAACACACCCTGACACCATGTTTTAACCCACTAAGACACACCCTGACACCATGTTTAACCACTAAGACACACCCTGACACCATGTTTTAACCCACTAAGACACACCCTGACACCATGTTTTAACCCCTAAGGACACAAACCTGGACACCATGTTTAACCCACTAAAGACACAAACCTGGACACCATGTTTTTTAACCCACTTAAGGACCACACCCCTGACACCATGGTTTAACCCACTAAGGACACAACCTGACACCATGTTTTAACCCACTACGACACACCCTGACCACCATGTTTAACCCACTAAGACACACCCTGACACCATGTTTTTAACCACCACTAAGACACAACCCTGACACCATGGTTTAACCCACTAAGACACACCCTGGGAAAAAAGGGGGTTTCCTTCAACCCCTCTTCCCCCTTAACCCACTAAGAACACCCCTGACACCATGTTTTAACCCCCTAAGACACAACCTGACCACCCATGTTTTAACCACCCTAAGGACACCATGACACTTATGTTTTAACCCCCTAAAGACACACCCTGACCACCAATGTTTTAATCCCCCTAAGACACAACCTGACACCATGTTTTAACCCCCTATGACACAACCTGACACCATGTTTTAAGACACACCCTGACACCATGTTTTAACACACTAAGACACACCCTGACACCATGTTTTAACCCTCTAAGACACACCCTGACACCATGTTTTAACCAAACCCCCTAAGACACAACCTGACACCATGTTTTAACCCACTAAGACACCATGACACTATGTTTTAACCCCCTAAGACACACCCTGACACCATGTCATGTTTTAACCCACTAAGACACACACCCTGACACCATGTTTTCTAACCTTCATTACTCACTGTGATATTAGGATGTTTTTCATTCTTATCACAGCTAGCTAACAGATCCTTTCACTCTAATTTCCTACATATTTTGTACTTTTATTGAATGTTAAATATGTTCCTTGACCAATAAAGAATAAAACACCATTTAATGTAATTTGCAAACAAAAAACTATTGATCACAGAAAAAAAAGCAATCACCTGCAGCAGCACCACTCCGATGATCTGCAACTTTCCCTGCTGTCTCTCTGGGTGGTCCTTCCACTTCTGGACCTCACAGAAGGCAAACCCTATGGGATTGAGCAACATCAGGGAGACAGGAGCCACCAGGTAGATGTACTGCAGGTACTCCGGATAAGTGTTCCTGTACAGGGCGTCCACTGCAGGGAGCAGGGGGGGGGCAGATGTTAGTGTATGGTTTCCAAACCATTCCTCAGGGACCCCCAGATGTTCCAACAAATACAGTGTATTCGGAAAGTATTCAGACTACTTGACTTTTTCCACATTTTGTTACGTTACAGCCTTATTCTAAAATGGATTAAAAATAATAATAATCAATCTACACACAATACCCCATAATTACATTTTTTGAAATGTTTGCAAATTTATTAAAAATAAAAAACAGAAATACCTTATTTACATAAGTATTCAGACCCTTTGCTATGAGACTCGAAATTGAGCTCAGGTGGATACTGTTTCCATTGATCATCCTTGAGAAGTTTCTACAACTTGATTGGAGTCCACCTGTGGTAAATTCAATTGATTGGACATGATTTGGAAAGGCAGACTTGTCTATATAAGGTCCCACAGTTGACAGTGCATGTCAGAGCAAAAGCCATGAGGTCAAAGGAATAGTCCATAGAGCTCTGAGACAGGATTGTGTCGAGGCACAGATCTGGGGAAGGGTACCAAAAAATGTCTGCAGCATTGAAGGTCCCCAAGAACACGGTGGCCTCCATCATTCTTAAAAAAAGAAGTTTGGAACCACCAATACTTTTTCTAGAGCTGGCCGCCCGGCCAAACTGAGCAATCGGGGGAGAAGGGCCTTGGTCAGGGAGGTGACCAAGAACCCGATAGTCACTCTGACAGAGCTCCAGAGTTCCTCTGTGAAGATGGGAGAACCTTCCAGAAGGACAACCATCTCTGCAGCACTCCACCAATCAGGCCTTCATGGTAGAGTAGCCAGACTGAAACCACTCCTCAGTAAAAGGCACATGACAGCCCGCTTGGAGTTTGCCAAAAGGCACCTAAAGGACTCTCAGACCATGAGAAACAAGATTCTCTGGTCTGATGAAACCAAGATTGAACTCTTTGGCCTGAATGCCAAGCGTCACGTCTGGAGGAAACCAGGCACTGCTCAATACCTGGCCAATACCATCCCTACGGTGAAGCATGGGGGTGGCAGCATCATGCCGTGGGGATGTTTTTCAGCGGCAGGGACTGGGAGACTAGTCAGGATTGAGGGAAAGATGAACGTAGCAAAGTACAGAGAGATCCTTGATGAAGTCCTGAGCACTCTGGAGCAGGTTATCAGACTAGGGCGAAGGTTCCCCTTCCAACAGCACAACGACCCTAAGCACAGAGCCAAGACCAATGCAGGAGTGGCTTCGGGACAAGTTTCTGAATGTCCTTGAGTTGCCCAGCCAGAGCCGGACCCGATCGAACATCTCTGGAGAGACCTGAAAATAGCTGTGCTGCGACGCTCCCCATCCAACCTGACAGAGCTTGAGAGGATCTGCAGAGAAGAATGGGAGAAACTCCCCAAATACAGGTGTGCCAAAGCTTGTAGCATCATACCCAAGAAGACTCAAGGCTGTAATCGCTGCCAAAGGTGCTTCAACAAAGTACTGAGTAAAGGGTCTGAATACCCTTGGTCCTCTGTAACTCAGCTGGTAGAGCACGGCACTTGTAACGCCAAGGTAGTGGGTTCGATCCCCGGGACCACCCATACACAAAAATGTATGCACGCATGACTGTAAGTCGCTTTGGATAAAAGCGTCTGCTAAATGGCATATTATTATTATTACTTATGAAAATGTGATATTTCCGTTTTTTATTTGTAATAATTTGCAAAAATGTCTAAACCTGTTTTCTCTTTGTCATTATGGAGTATTGTGTAGATTGATGGGAAAAAACAATATTCAATTTTAGAATAAGGCTGTAATGTAACAAAATGTGGAAAAAGTGAAGGGATCTGAATACTTTCCAAATGCACTGTATGTGGAACGGCTGGGACTGTTTTGAGAAAGAGGATGAACTTTCCAAAGCAAAATAAAATAGCCCTGTTGTACTACTATCACATTCCAAAAGACAACTATCCTCACCAATAGGATACCCCAGGGCGAAGTCGTTGCTCTGCGTAGCGAAGATGGAGTAGAGTCCTGCCTTGCTGTACCTGCTCTCTGGACTGGCCACGGATAGCGTCAGAACACACACCAGGACGAACACCGACACCTTGGCTATCAGGATACTCCACAGGAACGACCAGATCACATTATTAAAGTCCAACAGAACCATGTTCTTGAAGAGCAGCGCCGGAAGGGCGAACTTAGACACAAAGTTCCCCAGTCCTTTAGCTTGACAGGAGGTGATTATGTCGGTCCTACCGGCGATGTATCCACACAGGATGATCCCAAAACACTCCAGGAGAGCCGGGAAGAGCTTGTCGATAGACATGGCTTGGGTGGAGGAGAGGGGGTTGTGGGATATGTTCTTGCCATGGATGGCTACGTAGGTATCCATGCTTGTTTTGTGGTTGAATGAGCACTAAATTACTTCACAGATAGGAATACCTTTCGATATCTGAGTACAGAACAGTCGTGCTGGGCACCAGTTCAGGCTAACACATCCGTAATGCCCTTGTTGAAAAGAGAATCTATGGTGAATAGTGGGATAGGTCATACACTTTCTTGGTTGTCAGAAAAACATATGCAATACCTAGGACCAATCGCGTTTCCTGACCAAGTGACAAGTCTAGGAAAAACTCCTGGCCCTACCAATACCCTATCCAGGAGAGGGAGAATGCGGTGAATCTGTTGTCAAAAAGAACCAATACAAAACTATTTACAAGGAGTGCAGTGCTGATGACATACATACCACAGATAATATAGCGTTATAGCCTACTCCCAACTGTGCCTTGAAACTGCTTTCAAAAATAGTCATGGGGGATTTCATCATGTGAGGAGAGAGATTAACGTTTTATACGTGTAGCTCGTGAAGTCTTGAACGATGTCAATTATTGGATTTGGAGCTAGGTACTGTAGCTAGCTAGCATGCTATTCTTTGCTAACAGTTACATCTAGCTAGCTCGCTCGCTTGCCAAAAACATATTGCGAAAATACAAGATAAAAGCGTCATACCTTAGACATCTTGCGACGAGATATTGCATATTTAACACGCGATTGTCGTTTTTTTTATTAAAATGTAGTTATATAGTCAAATTCGTCCTATCTATTGCTGTTGACAGCTAGCTAACGGTAATACAAACACATGCTATTCTCATTTGGTGTATGGTATCCCTGGGACGTCACAACTCTGACGTTGCCCCATTGAAGTTGACATTTAAAATGGTAAGGGTTAAGGTTATAGTAAGGGTAGGGGTTAAGGTTAGGGTTTAGGTTATGACGTCCCAATGATTCCGTTTAGCGCTAACCATTCTCCTCTGTGGCCTGTTTCGTGCAACTGTTCAACAACGCCCTAAATTATGAGTGACAAGCCAGGCATCCAATTATCGCTCAAGTATGTTGTTTTGAGGAGCTATACTCGGGTTTGATTGGGTGGGAAAGCGACCGGACACTCACGTTGGTAAGGGTCTCTCGAGGTGTGTTATAATATGAGTTAAGACATGTCAATAAATCAATACATTTAGGTAAATTAATCAATTAATTAGCTAAGACTGGACACCTTTATAATAGATACAAATCTAGAATACTCCACTAGCTACATATCCCCCTAAAAATGTGATTAGATTCTAAATATTGTAATTAGAGAGTGTTAGCAAAGCAACTAACTTCCTCTATAGTGTATGAGCCACAAGAAGTCTCAATTTCAACTTTATTCGCTTTATTTAGAAAATCCATTTGGAAATAGTTTGTTTTGTTTTACAATGAAAAGCTTCAGGAAGAAAATACACTGAAAGGCTGAAACAAAAGCAGTTGAATGCATCTAAAAAATAAGATAAATTCCTTTGAATCCAAAGTGCATAAAGCACTCGGTAGTACCATTGTAAATGTCATAGGGAACTAATCTCCCGTGGGCAGTTTGTGTAGCTGACCAAACTACGCAATATTTTACTTCTGGGTTAACAGAGACAACAAGGGCACAAGAGACAACATAATTAATAATGAAAGAAGACTGAAAGAAAAAATGTCCCCATGAGGAACGTCATTCATTATTCCTGTCACCTGAGGAGGAACTAACTTGAATGGTCCTCTTTTTAAAACGTTCCATTTCTGCTGGATGTTTCTGGCTGTTTGGTCCTTGGTAGTCTGTGGAAAGAGACTATGTCCTAGTGCAGCTGATTGTCTTTGGTCAAACACGCAACATGTTCATGCCATTTCCACATTCTCTCTTCAGAAATACATATTATCATCTTTACAGAACAGAGAAAACACTGAGGCCAAACATAGCCCTTACTCAGCATACATCCAGCATATTTTGATCCATTTTCATATCCTCCTAGCATACATTAAAACACTCGCAAATTCTATGCGCAAGCGCATTCGTATCATAACTTCAGCATCATGTATAACATTTTAATACATTTTAATGATTTACTTTCATAGGTCAAATATTGGATTGTCACTCTGCAAGTGGTTCTGAGACAAGCTTGATGTTAATATCAAGTAGAGGAGGCTACCCAGAGCAGCAGTACAGAAGCAGAAGATAATACTGTAACTGTATAGTCAAAGAAATAGTCAAATACATAACTTCGAAAATAAAAACAAATAATCCTTCCCAACAACTTAAATCCTACAAAGTTAAACTAACCTCCTTCATGAGTGACAGTGACAGTTGTTTTCTTTCAAGGCAAAAATAAAACATTCAATTTTCACCTAAAGTTCAATCAACACATACAGTAACACACAAGCGTCCATTTTGTCTCTACCTTGTAAAAAACAAAGTTCAAGACATGCCGTGAACTGCACATGACTGTGATAATCGTATGGGAAGTACCCTTTGACGGTTAGAATAATGTAATTTATATGCTATAGTTTGGTTGCCCTTTGGCAAAGACAGGCACAGCATTCAACATCATTGTTTCCCTTAAATCTCATAAAGATCCTTCATAACAAAACTGCATTTAAAAAAAGGCACAGTGAAAAATGATAAGAAAAGTAAACCGTTTCAACACTACATCGTGGAGCAAAACCAAATGCATAGCCTATAAAACGAGCCTCTGTTGCCACTTTGTTTGTTTGGGTGCTGTTCGTTAATGACAATATTTTGTAAACTCCAGGCAGAAATACGTGGTTGTGTGAGTCCCACTGCAAATATGGTCCATCCATGAGGTGCTATAAGCCTCATACACAGAGGCAGTGGGAGTTACAGACTTACATCCATGTACTCTGAGGGAGGGACAGATGGAGGGATGGATGGAGAGATGGATGAAGAGGAGATATCCCAAACATGACCCCCTCCTTCACCTGGGGATAGGGGGTAGCGGGGGCGCACCCCTCGACTTTTTATCTGAACCTGGACAGGAAAGAGGGAAAAGGAAGTCTGACATGTCAAGCAGGCTGTAAAGGACAGGAAGATACTCTGAAGGCACACTGACATGTCAAGCAGGCTGTAAAGGACAGGAAGATACTCTGAAGGCACATTTTAATACTTTCAGGAGGAAACAGACTTGGGTCAAATGAATACATGTATCAAACACTTGATTTAGCTTGGAGTTTGTTGAAGCGCAGCGCAAGTATTTGACATTTGACCCTGGTCTGGGAGGAAAGCCCTTGGTTCCTACCTCTGCCATCGGTCTTGGTCAACTTGCTCGGGTATGTCTTCTGACAGGACACGTAAGGCTCTGGGACAGGGAGGTCTGAGACAGGGTGGAACTGGAACCGGGCCTCCCAATCATCTGACAGAGAGAGAAACACAACTCTCAGTTGGGTCAGTTAAAGAGCTATATGTGACCAACTGGGTTCAAACCCGGGTCTCCTGGGCACCACAAAACTGTTAGCGCACTGAGCTAAAGCCAAGTCATTAACGATGGGAGCTAAGGGTGCATTAGGAAATAAGGTCTCAAGCACGGTTACTCATCACGAGTTCCTTCCGTTACACTCACCTACGTGTTGGTGATGGGAGTTCTGGAAGCCGTTGCCCATGGGGGGAGGTGGGGGAGGAGGGCCTCCTATGCCCGGTCGGTCTGGGGGTAGCGGGGGCCGGAGTCCCCCACGGGAGGGCTCTGCTCCCGGTCGGTTAGGAGGTGAGGGGACTGGAGATGACCTTATACTGCCTCCACGTGGACCTGAGGGGGGAGGGGGAGGGAGCGGGCCTGGGGGGGAAGAGGTTACACCACAGAGTTCAATACAACACTAGTTCTATATAATAGCATCATGTATATCATCTCTATAGGTCACATCATAGCTACATAAGATAACTACATTCCATCCAGTCTCAAAACACATACACTGTGTACTGATGTCTGAACAAACTGACCACAGAAAGGTTAGCTATGTTTGTAGCTGCTAAGCTAACCCAAAAAGAGACAGTGAACCTATCATTATGTGACCTGAGGGGAGACTGAAGGGCGCAGCATCCTTACCCGTCCGTCCTGAGGGGTTTTTACCCAGAGGGGGCGGCCTCTCACTTGGAGGGGGTGGCAGTGGCCCTGACCGGCCAGGTGGGGGCGCCGGTGCCAGTGAGTTGAGTGACAGGTTCCTCTGTGGTAGTCTGGGGGTGTGTTCGTCTCCTCCCGCAGGCGTAGGGGGCAGCATGGGAAGGCCCGGTCTGCCAGGAGGGAGAGGGGGAGCTCCACCGCCGCCGATGGGGGGCTGAGGGGAAGATGAGCTGGGGGGCTTGGAGTTGAAAGATGGTGAGGGTCCGTCTCTGAGTGTGGAGGGCCGGCGGCCCCCCAGGGGTGGGGGTGGGGGCCGGGGGTCCTCCGAGGGTCTGCCTGGGTGGGGGACCGGGGGTAGAGGGGGACGTCCACTACTGGGAACCGGAGGGGCCCCAAAGGAGGATTTGGGCCCAGGCGGGGCCCCTATAGGGCCAGGGGGAGGGGGCAGGCCTGGGTTTCTGCCTGCAAGGTTGGGTGGTGGAGGGGCCGGGGTTGAGCTGGGGGGCCGGGCTCCTCCTGGAACAGGCGGGGTCCCTCGGCTCTGGTTGGGCCGTGGGGTGTTGGGGACGGGGGGAGGGGGTCCGCCGGGGGTCTCTGGTCGCGGGGGGCCAGCCCGTCCCCTGGGGAGGTCGGGGGCGCTGCTCCGGGGAAAGGCTGGGGCCCCTTGGAACCGCGGAGGGCCAGCGGAGGGGCCCCCACCACCAAACGGTCTGGGGCCTGAGGAACGACCTCCTGGAGGTAGCATGGGGGGCCTAGGGCCTGCTGGGTAATAAGGGTTTCAAACATCACACACCTTGCCTATCATCATTTTGTCCTACATGGGGCTACGGTTAAAAACAATCAACCAACTAGTGTCCTCTATGCATTACAGAAATATATGTAGCCTGGTGTGAGACCAGGTGAGAATTGGGGATAAGTTAGCGAGCCGGAACTCTCGATTAGCGAGCCGGTGTTCTGCCATGGACGACATCCATGGGCTGTACATTTGGTAAGCAACTTTTGTTTATTTTTCTGTAAATGTTTTACCGTTTACGCAAGTAAACGTCAGCTATGTAAAACAATGGTTTGTATTGCAGTAACATCTTCAACGCTGTTGGGGGAAAAGCGGCTTGGAAGCCGGTTGTGAGTGCTGGCTGGGAACAGGGTATAGCCCAGGAACTTTGAAAGGTATTGTAATGTGAATCGTGTCTTTTTCATAATGTTGTGTATTTAATAAAGTATTGAAGTTTTAATATTGCTATTTTATAAAGGAGCCAGGGTTATAATTATTGTTTATATTTTTCAGAGAATTGGTAAAGCCTTATCGCTGCTGTTATTGTTTGTGTCCCTTACATTAGGTAGGTTTTTTTGGTTTGTCTTGTCCGCCCGGGCAAATGAGCTGGTATTCGGGCAAAATATTTGGGATTGCCCTGGCGGGCGGACTAGTTGAATTTTCTTTGTTATATGTTTGTTTGTATGTTTTGTCAGTCCTCCAGGGCTGGCTGGTTTTAAGAGGGAACTATTTGGTTAGAGAGCAGAGGCAAGTTGTATGAATTTACGTGCGTGCTTTCGCATGCTAATTATCACCAGTGTGTCATCATCTTACAAAAAGAGTGTTATACTACAAAGAGTGTTTAATCACCAATGTGTTATCTTACAAAGAGTGTTTAATCACCAATGTGTTATCTTACAAAGAGTGTTTAATTTCCAGTGTGTTATACTACAAATAGTGTTTAATCTCCAGTGTGTTATACTACAAAGAGTGTTTAATCACCAATGTGTTATCTTACAAAGAGTGTTTTAATTTCCAGTGTGTTATACTACAAATAGTGTTTAATCTCCAGTGTGTTATACTACAAAGAGTGTTTAACATGACAAGAGGAACTGATGATGCACAACCGGACTGAGTTCCTTTTCTGGGTGGGGTGGGGGGGGGGGGGGGGGGGGGGGGGGGGTCATGAATTGTATTATTGTTTTTTTATGTAATAACCTTGGCACTTTGGTTAACTCTGTGTGTGTCATTCATTTGACAGACCTGTAATTGACTTGGCCTGAGGACCGCCCCTCGTGTATAAAAAGGTAGGCAGTACAGTTTACATATAGCAACACATATTACACCTGTTCAAGATAGTTATCATGGCTTATCTCAAACACGGCTACAAACCATATGAACACAACCTCAAGAGGCTGCTTCAGTACATCGTAGGTTGTTATTATACACATGATGGATTATTACCGTTGCTGGTCCCTCCTGCGGACCGAAGCTTGGGCATGCCTCCTGCGAAGAGACCTCCTAGTGCTGGACCTCCTCCTCCTCCTCCTCCTCCTCCTCCTCCTCCTCCTCCTCCTCCTCCTCCTCCTCCACCTCCACCTCCCCTCCACCTCCTCCACCTCCTCCTCCTTTGGGTTCTGTGAAGTAAGGTATTGAATCTCTTTTTCCTCAGGCATAAGCATTTGAAATCGAATTATCTGCAGAAGGCCTTTGTAGGTTTCCAGTAGCTTCCACATTTCCTAATTGTTAAACTGAGGACGAGTACATTCTGAGTAAAGCCTTTAGAATACACACCAGCAACAAATACATGTTTACTCACTGTCAATGATGGGTTGACTCCTGTCATTGGTGACAGCCTTCTTCAGACGTGCACCTTTGCCGATATCAGACAGTAAGGCGTTTCTTCCTTGGACTTCATTCTTATTGAGCGACGGCTTCTTTGTGTTTGCCTGCGGATGTTCACAACATAAAACACAAACAAAGCATCCTGTTAGATAATACTATAGCATTACTATTATTAGTCAGAACTTTCCACTGTCACGTTAACTCATATTAGTGGTCCTCTGTAGCTCAGCTGGTAGAGCACGGCGCTTGTAACGCCAAGGTAGTGGGTTCGATCCCCGGGACCACCCGTACACAAAAAAAATTATGCACGCATGACTGTAAGTCGCTTTGGATAAAAGCGTCTGCTAAATGGCATATTATTATTATTATATCTTTGGCGTGCTTACCACAGCGAAGGTTGGGGGTGGGGGAGGGGCGGGGGGGTGGTGGCGGGGGAGGAGGCATCTTCTCTCTCTTCAGCTACTCTTTTACAGCTTCACCCCTGATGAAGAGAATACACAAAATCCATCCAATTAAATACTTCCTAAATATCCACACTAACAGTAGGCTTACACATGCTATATACATAACCAGACTGGACCGCAACAAACCTTCAGAGACATGGGAAAACACACTCAGAACGACACAACCCGCCAAACACACACACACACACACACACACACCTCTCCCAGTGGGCACAGACTTCAGTTCAACATCTAGTTTTGATTTACATTTGGTTGAGTTGTCAACTAACATGAATTCAACGTGAAATCAACAAAAAAATGGCACCATATCATTGGATTAAGGTTAAAAGTTGGGTGGGAAAAAATAAGACATTTCCTTAGGTTGATGACTGTTTTCAAATCCAATCCGTTTTCCACTTTGATTCAATGTCATCACATTACATTTTTTTGTTGAAATTACATGGAAACAATGTTGTTTCAACCAGTTTCTGCCCAATAGGCTTTCACCACAGTCCTTAAAAGCAAGCTGTGTGACTGCAGATACATACAGAATAGTCTTTGCACAGAAATAACAGGATGTATTGAAATAACTTGCAAAGTACTTGAGCTATAAAACCACAAGGGAAACAATCATATTGATCCAGAAACACTTCCTGGTACAGTAGACAGATGACAACCATCATCCAATCTAGGGCTGTCCCCGATTAAACAAAATCTTGGTCGACCGAGAGTCGTCGACCAATCGATTGGTAGAAATTTTAAAACGTGTATTTTTCCATATATATATATATATATGTTTTTATAAAATCAACTATATGTAGGCTGTTGAGCTTGTCTGGTGCTTTAAGCACTGTGATTAAAAATGAAGACACACAAATTACTCAAGAGGGAGCTAGAGATCAATATAGCCTAACCAGAAGAAAGAAACCCTGTTCCTGACCCTCCTCCTCCCGCTGCTGCTGGCCTTCTCAGATTCTGCCCTTTAAGCTCCTGAAGTTGCTGGTAATAGGCTACACCAGCAGCAGGCAACCTTTTTCATTTGAAGTGTCAATTTATCATACAATTTCTATTGATTTCCGTGCCAGTTATGATTTTCATATGCACATTTTCGTGGAACAGTTTCATTTAATTTATAATAAAGTCTTCATATCTCAAAATAAATGTAATGTGGTTAACCAAAATTATATCTAAATGAAAATGATACAATTCTAAAAGTTACTTCTATTGCCATTTGCCAATATGTAAAAATAGCCTACATAAAGCATGAAAATAAATCTCCTATAAATCACATTGGCTACACATGGTCTGTCTGCACCAAACCTGAATCATTGTATCAACTATTAACTTGGTCCAGCCCAAAGCTTGTGCTACCAAACTTGCAACATTGTATAAAATATTCGGACCATCAGAGTTTCCCGTGCCAGTGAGCTCCAGACAGACACATCTGTAGGCTATTTTTGCGCAAGGGATAAGAAGTAATCAGGTAGGCCTATTTGATGACTTTTCCACCGGATCAGAGCATGACACATTTTCCCCTTTCATGCTGAGTGGTTATCGGAAGGGAGAGAGCTGAAAATACTTTTTCAAATAGGCTAGGTGCATGTCCTTACTCAAGATTGACAGGAGCGCTCCAAACAAAAGACAATGAATGAATTGACAACTCGTAAATGGAATTAAATAAACCAACTTGTTTCTCACAAGTGTAGCCTAGGTTGTATGCTCTGCAAACAACGTGTCCACTCCTACAATGACAACGGTAAGACTGTAATAATAATATATTGACTGCATTAACAGAAATTACCGTAACCAAACAAACATTGTAGATGATAGATTATGGGAATTAACGGTAAAAGTACTACTGGGGATACTGGTGTGCCTCCGCAATAGCTCAGGAGTATTTCTGTCTGTAATAAAGCAATTCTGTAGGGGAAAACTCATTCTGACTGGCTGGGCCTGGCTCCCCAGTGGGTGGGCCTATGCCCTCCAAGGCCCACCCATGGCTGCACCGCTGCCCAGTCATGTGAAATCCATAGATTAGGGCCTAATGAATTTATTTCAATTGAATGTATCTGAGGGCCTTCAAAAGCGGGTTGCCCATCCCTGTTATAGATTAGCCCAGTCCATATGTGATTTACATTAGTTATAGACTAGCTCAGTATGCATGTGATTTACATTAGTTATAGACTAGCCCAGTCCATATGCATGTGATTTGCATTAGTTACCAGTCAATGAGAGAGAGATAGAGAGAGAGAGAGAGATGACAGTTTCAGCTGCAGAGGCCTCTAGCTTCCTGTCAATGTGGTCAACAGGAAGACCTGATACGAATGAGACCCAACTCACAGCCATCCTGTCTCTCCATCTCTCTAAAGTAGCACCTTTCTATCTCACTAAATCTCTCTACATCCACCTCTCTCTGCTAAAGTACATTTCTCTCTCTCTCTCGCTCTCTAAGGCAGCACCTTTCTATCAATCTCTCTAAGGCAGCACCTTGCTATCTCTCTCTAAGGCAACATCTTGCTATCTCTCTAAGGCAGCACCTTACTATCTCTCTAAGGCAGCACCTTGCTATCTCTCTCTCTCTAAGGCAGCACCTTGCTATCTCTCTCTCTAAGGCAGCACCTTGCTATCTCTCTCTCTCTAAGGCAGCACCTTTCTTTCTCTCTAAGGCAGCACCTTTCTATCTCTCTAAGGCAGCACCTTACAAAATAATTACAATTATAATTTAGTATTAACACTGGAGTGATAGATGTGCAAATAGAGATACTGGGGTGCAAATGAGCAAATAAATAACAATGTAAATAACAATATGGGGATGAGGTAGTTGGGTGGGCTAATTACAGATGGGCTGTGTACAGGTTCAGTGATCGGTAAGCTGCTCTGACAACTGATGCTTAAAGATAGTGAGGGAGATAAGTGTCTCCAGCTTCAGAGATTTTTGCAGTTCGTTCCATCATCACCAAATTCACTGAGAATGCATTACATAGGATGAAGAAAAAAATACTCAGAGCCGCAGAGTCATATTACTGTCCGTGGCTTTTGACAATTTCTTTGGAATCCTCATGTCTTACACATTGTTAGAAAAAAAAGGTTTGCTCCAAATCGGATGTTAGGTACTATATTTTCAAATGGCCAATTTGGATGCAATCAATTCAAATCAAATCAAATTTTATTTGTCACATACACGTGTTTAGCAGATGTTATAGCGGGTGTAGCGAAATGCTTGTGCTTCTAGCTCCGACAGTGCACTAATATCTAACAAGTAATATCTAACAATTCCGCAACATATACCTAATACACACAAAACTAGTAAGGAATGGAATTTAAGAAAATATACATACAGTGAGGGAAAAAAGTATTTGATCCCCTGCTGATTTTGTACGTTTGCCCACTGACAAAGAAATGATCAGTCTATAATTTTAATGGTAGGTTTATTTGAACAGTGAGAGTCAGAATAACAAAACAAAAATCCTGAAAAACGCATGTCAAAAATTTTAGAAATTGATTTGCATTTTAATGAGGGAAATAAGTATTTGACCCCCTCTCAATCAGAAAGATTTCTGGTTCCCAGGTGCCTTTTATACAGGTAACGAGCTGAGATTAGGAGCACACTTAAAGGGAGTGCTCCTAATCTCAGCTTGTTACCTGTATAAAAGACACCTGTCCACAGAAGCAATCAATCAATCAGATTCCAAACTCTCCACCATGGCCAAGACCAAAGAGCTCTCCATGGATGTCTGGGACAAGATTGTAGACCTACACAAGGCTGGAATGGGCTACAAGACCGTCGCCAAGCAGCTTGGTGAGAAGGTGACAACAGTTGGTGCGATTATTCGCAAATGGAAGAAACACAAAATAACTCTAAATCTCCCTCGGCCTGGGGCTCCATGCAAGATCTCACCTCGTGGAGTTGCAATGATCATGAGAACGGTGAGGAATCAGCCCAGAACTACACTGGAGGATCTTGTCAATGATCTCAAGGCAGCTGGGACCATAGTCACCAAGAAAACAATTGGTAACACACTACGCCGTAAAGGACTGAAATCCTGCAGCGCCCGCAAGGTCCCCCTGCTCAAGAAAGCACATATACAGGCCCGTCTGAAGTTTGCCAATGAACATCTGAATGATTCAGAGGAGAACTGGGTGAAAGTGTTGTGGTCAGATGAGACCAAAATCGAGCTCTTTGAAATCAACTCAACTCGCCGTGTTTGGAGGAGGAGGAATGCTGCCTATGACCCCAAGAACACCATCCCCACCGTCAA